AAATTATTATCCCAAAAAAATAATATTTTTTATAAAATAAAATGTAAAATATTTTTCTTACCTCACTCCATCACTTCCTCTCACCGTACCCCCCTCCCCCTCCATTTTTTTGGTGTTTTTAGTTTAAATTTCTTTTTATAAAAGTGTATAATTTTGTTTTTACTTCATCTTCCCCGCCTCCCCTACAAATACTAATTTAGATATTATTATTATTTTTCTTTTTAAAAAAACTCTACCCACTCCACCAAACCCTTCGCTTTCAATTTTTTTTCTCGTTTTGTGTTAAATATATACATATCGAAAATATGTTTTACTTGCCGCCGCAAGACTTTTTTTTAAATAAATTTTTTATTTATGTTATATTCGGTACACGAAAAAAATTCCTAAAAATATATGTATATATCTAACAAAAAACGATAAAAAATGTAAAATAAATAAATAAATTAGGAGCGGAGGGTTAAATAGGATGGGGTAGCATTTTTATTTTTTTAAAAAAAAAAAATATTTTTTTGGGGATAGTTATACTTTAATCTTTAATTTTAAATTAATATTAATAGTTTATTATTTAATTTTTGTCAAGGTGGAATATTTTATCCATATGAAATTTCACGTGTCAAGATTTTTTCAAATAAAAGGGAGAGTGCATTACACACACCGTTGATGTGTGTTTCTCAAACTACTAAGTGATAGTTTAGGTATGTTTTTGACACTTATCTCATAAATATATGATTGGATAAGAATGCACAAGTAAATAGATTCAGTTCATTTGACCATGAGTCAAAAATCAAATAATGATTAATATCTTTCTATATTTACTTAATTTTCATTTGATCATGAGTCAAAAATCGAATAATAAGTAATATCTTCCTATATTTACTTTATTTTCATTTGAATATGAGTCAAAAATCAAGTAATAATTAATATCTTTTTACATTTACTTTATTTTCATTTGACCATGATAAAAAATCAAATAATAATTAAAATCTTTCTATATTTACTTTATTTTCCTTTGACCATGAGTTAAAAATCTAATAACAATTAATATCTTTCTATATTTACTTATTTGCATTTGACTATGAGTAAAAAATCAAATAATAATTAATATCTTTCTATATTTACTTTATTTTCATTTGATAATGAGTCAAAAACGGAATAATAATTAATATCTTTTCATATTTACTTTATTTTCATTTGATCATGAGTCAAAAATTGAATAATAATTAATATCTTACTATATTTACAACCATTTTCTTGCCCAATTTCATCATCCGATTTTTATATATAGCCCTAAAAATTGTACCCCCAATACATATTACATGAAGTTGCCAGTCTTGTTTGTTTATCTTTGAACCTTGCCCATTTTAGACAGTAAGCATTATTATTGTTACTAGGATTTCTTGCCTAGTGGAATATCAATACAAATTGTTAGTCATGCTTAGAATAGCTTCGTGAGATTATTGGATACTCATTCCAATTCAAATAAGAGAAAAAAGCACAACAAATCAAGTGTTTCCGATCTTCATCTTGATTTTTTGCCCCCCTTCTCTCATTTGAATTTGAATTAGAATTAGAATCCAATAATCTCACGAAGTATTTCTGGGCATGACTAGCAACTTGTATTGATGTTTTACTAGGCAAGAAATTCTTGGTAATCTTAGGCCAATTACCTTTCTCATGAAAATTCAATCCTTTGAAGAACGCTTTGTGTTCATTCTCTATCCATGGATTTCCTTTCTTGTTTTTTCTTCCCATAAAATATTTTTTAGACATTATTGCAGCAAGTCTCAACACCAAACAATTTCAGTTTTATGCTTTTTATTCCTCCTTATTGCTATTTTTCTTTCCTCTTAATTTGAGAATTCAAAAAGAATAGTGTATATATAAGGAGAAAAAACTCCTTTTGTATGCAATATAAAAGATAACTAGGAAAGCGCTTCATTTTCACTTTTCCTAATATGTAAGATTTGTGATGATAATCCGTTCTTAATTTTTTATAGGATTACTTGCCCTTTAGTTTATGTTACTAATCAATAAATTTATATGTACTTATCTTTTAAATAATCTGATTGTTTGGATCATTTTTATACCATCAATCAATGTATATAACTTAAATCAATCTGTATTTTCACCAAATTAATTATTTTATCATACTGTGATTACGATTTTTCTCCATTCAATATCTTTTATATAAAAGGTTCTCTTTTGTATGAATGCTACTTTGTATTTATTATATATAATCAAGTACAAATAAGGAAAAGTGTCCTTGGGATAAGGGAATATATTCCAAATTATTTATGGCAAGAAGGTAAATGATTTCACTATAATAACTATAATTTACCTTTTTTTCTACTGTGTTTTAGTGTCCCAAAATATTATATGATAAATAAAGAAAATGGTGAAAATAATAGTTGAAACATTTCATAAAACTTCCTGAAAAAATATTTTTTCTTGGAGGGAAATGCACACACCTTATATTTCCATTAATTTTTTCTCGGTATAAATTGTCACATAACATGTTTTAATGTTGAATGTTATTTGCAGGAATCAAGAGATCTCAGAGAGGAGTTCTTATGTTTGATCCTCTTGACACAGGGAAAACATCTTGGCCAAAGATATTGCTACAAAGTGTGGGTACGGGGAGAGTGAACGATTAACACAGTGTTTAAACGAGCTTGCCCATACTCATCAATGAAAATTGTTGTTGGAGCATGAGTACGGGCAAACTCAAATAAGCACTGTGTCAATCGTTCACTCTACCCATACAATTTTCCACACAACAAACTACAAGAAATATTCATAAATGTTGTCCCACACTCTGTAGCAACACATCTTTGGCCAACAATGTTTTTCCTGTGTCTGGAGAACCAAGCAGAACAATTCCTCTCCAAGGTCTCCTATCACTGCAAATAATATTCAATATTACAACATGTTACATGACTGTTTGTTACGAGGAAAGATTAAAGGGAATATGAAGTGTGTATGGCATTTCCCTCCAAGAAAAATATTTTTTGGGGAAATTATATGAAATGTTTCAAATTCTTTCGGCTTTTTGCGGGTCTCTATTAAAGATTAATAATAATGAAACTAGCAAATTCGGAAATATTTTGTTGATCTTTTTGTAGAAGAATGCATAATAATGTCAAAATGTGTCAGTTAGAGCGAGTGATATGAAGTTCAAAGTTAAGATAATTATAAAAAAAAATGACATGATTTTCTTCCTTTTGGGAAAATGATGAAAAATATGTTGTTGAAATATAACTTCCATGGACCAAACATGCTTCCACTAATCATTCATTAGTATGATAATATTTGAGAATCAACTATCTGGAGTACCTAGAGTCCCACACTCAGTCGCAACATCATCCCATTAAACCCCTGAATTTGTGTTCATAATGTCCTTTTTAAGCTGAGTAACTAATTCAGGAAGAGGTTGTCACGATCCAAAATTGGACGTGATGGAACTTGTCTATTTCCACCCAGACAAGTCAGCCTCAACCCGACGAAAAAAAAGAAAAATGAAAGAGAAAGAAAGACAATATAAAAGCGAAAAATTTATTCATTCTATTCACACCCCAAAACCATTTCCACACCGGCAAGATTCACAAGTAGGTCAAACATAGGCATAAAAATGCATTAAATCACAACAATCAAACTCATGCCGGAATCATTTTTCTTCGGCACAATATCACTAGCCAGAACCATTTCCCATCGGCTTTATATCATATCACTAACCGAAACTATTTCCCATCAGCTTTATATCATATCACTAGCCGGAGTCCAAAATCAGATTTAAGTCACTCTGAATGTTTCAAAAGCAAAATAATTTGGTCAGTTGATATCTTACTTTTGCAATGAAATAACAAGATCTATTGATATTTACGAAAAGAAATATAAAATCTACTTCCAAATCAAATCTTGTAGATATTCTTTTACTTTCACTATGTTCTTTATTTATCACTTATTGCATTAGGATACTAAAACAATGTAAAAGAAAAGGGTTATTATAGTTAGTACAATCATAATCCTTTACTTCCTTCCCATAAATACTATCTGAAATATTTTCCTTAATCCAAAGACACATTTTCCCTTGTTTTCACTGAATTATAATAAATATAAAGTAAAGTAGCTTTTCCACCATATAAAAAAGGTAAACTTTAATATCGGATGATGTACAACATTAATCATACGATGGTAACATAGTGCTACCTTCGTCCAATTTTAGTTGTCATAGTTTTTTTTTTAGAGTCAAACTATAAAAACTTTGACTAACATTTTACGATGTATTTTTTCATCATATTGATATGCAAAAAACTATAATTTATAGTACTTTTCGTATAGTTTTTGAATATCTATTTTAAAAAAAAAATCAAATTAATGTAATCTAATTTAACTTTGAAAAAATTAGTCAAATTAACTTTCGAAAAGTGCACAATTAAAAGTGGACGGAAGTAATAGTAAATTTATTGATTAGTAACCTAAAATAAACGGTAAGAATCTGCATAAAAATATATTCCTTAATAATAAAATAAGTAGTAGTAGTAGTTACCATAACTAGTCTTAAAATGTGAAAAAACACGCTATCTATAAAAAAAAGAAAAGAAAAGGAAACTCTCCTCCTTATATATACACTATATAATACTATTTTTCTTCATTTATCAAATTAAGAAAATTGTTTTTAGCCATGGATAGGAATTGCAGTGAAAATGGCAAAAGCATCAAAATTAGTCAAATTAACTTTCGAAAAGTGCACAATTAAAAGTGGACGGAAGTAATAGTAAATTTATTGATTAGTAACCTAAAATAAACGGTAAGAATCTGCATAAAAATATATTCCTTAATAATAAAATAAGTAGTAGTAGTAGTTACCATAACTAGTCTTAAAATGTGAAAAAACACGCTATCTATAAAAAAAGAAAAGAAAAGGAAACTCTCCTCCTTATATATACACTATATAATACTATTTTTCTTCATTTATCAAATTAAGAAAATTGTTTTTAGCCATGGATAGGAATTGCAGTGAAAATGGCAAAAGCATCAAATTGTTTGGTTTTGAGATCACTACAACAACAACGAGTTCTGCTGCTGCACTAACGTCTGAAAAAGATTTCATGGGAAGGAAAATCAAGAAAGGAAATCGATGGACAGAGGATGAACAGAGAGCATTCTTGAAAGGATTGAATTTTCATGGAAAAGGAAATTGGACTAACATTGCTAAGGATTTCGTGCCTAGTAGAACGTCGACACAGGTTGCTAGTCATGCTCAAAAGTACTTCCTGAGATTATTGGATGCTAATTCCAATGAGAGAAAAAAGCGCAAGAAATCAAGTGTTTTTTGATCTTCGTATTGAAAAAACAGAGGATACACGTAATCAAGAAAGTCATAATGTGCCAAGTTTTGTACCAAATTACATGATGAAAAGTGTAACAACAGTATTGCCTCTTACTTGGGTTCACATGTATCCGTATAATGATCATTATGCCTCTACGTCAATCTGTACTACTACATTCGACAAGCCACTTTCTGGGATTTCTTCCTCTTCTTCTTCTGAGGATAATAATTTGGAGTTAAAGTTATAGTCAAGAAGATATACACAAGGCTACTTATTCTTTGATGTGTTTTTTTGTATGGATATATGTCTTATTGTAGTTGTATATTTCCGATATATGAAATGAAACCATAGTTAGTTCTTGATTCTTTCATCGTCTTGCTGTATTCCACATCCACATTTATCTAACTTTCTCTCTATCTCAGCCCAGCTTCAAATCAGTTAACAAGGATAAGCATAAGCAAAATCTCTGCAAGTCGGCAGTAAAGCCACAAACTAATCATTCTAAGACAATGAAAATTAATCGGGGATTAATTGAAGCCCAAACAGTAGGAGAAAGGGAAGGAAGGATTTAGTGAGAATCGACATTACATTTCTTGACACCAATATCAAAATAATATTTTTTTTAAGAGGTACATACTAAGTATTAGTACTTATTTTAGCTGAATGAAAAGTTTATGTTTGATGTAATCATATAGTGAAAGTAAGCGTTTTCCCAATATAGTGAAGGTATTAGCTGCATTAATGAAAACTAGGAGACTTTAAGTGACTATAAATCCATCAGTTGGAATAATGAAAACTAGGAGAGATGACAACTTATCCACTTGTTTTACTTCTAGGTTCGGGACTTAAACGTGAGCCTTCTAAGTATGTACTGTAATACAAGTCTAGATCATTTTGGTAGTATTTTACTTGTCAGATAAGTGATTTTACTTACATTTATGATATTTGACATATCTCATGTTTTCCATCTTCGAAACCTAGAAATGAAGAGAAAACTCATCAAATTTGGTGCATCATATGTGCCAGTATATCGAAAGGAACAAATTTTCTATATCACCAGAAAACATATCAAGAATAATACTACCAGTAGGTGAGTCGACTGTTCCACACAGGAAAGTCGACTAAAGAATTTTAATTCCCCCTCCCCCCCTCTTTACTTTCAGTATGGACATTGTTGAAAACCCATTTCTGAAAATATGCCTCAATGCACCTATACCAAGCTCGCGGGGATTGTTTTAGTCCATAAAGAGCTTTCTCAATCGATAAACCTTCTGCTCGTTACCAATCTTAACATAACCAGGGGTTGTTCGATAAATACCTCTTCCTCCAAGTGTCCATGTAGGAAAGTTGATTTGACATCCAACTGGAAGATAAGCCACGAATTTTGTGCTGCCAAGGCAATTAACATTCTAATAGTGTCATGCCTTCTAACTGGAGCAAAAACTTCAGTGTAATCAACACCATATTCCTTCTTGTTTCCCTTAGCCACCAATCGCGCCTTACACTAATCAATTTCACCATTTTCTTTAAGTTTCATCTTATAGACCCACTTGACGCCAATGGTTTTGTTCTTCTCACGAAGATCAACAAGCTCCCAAGTATCATTCCTTACAATAGCTTCAATTTCAGCCTCCATCGTCTTTCTCCATTCTTCTTCTCTAACAACACTCTCAAATATTGTCGGGTCACAATCTGCAAACAATGCCAAATGAGTAATTGAATCATCATTTACATTGATTCCTAGTACCTTATAGTCCAGCATCCACGTGGACTTTCTGCTAGCACGGCGAAGAGAATGAGCTGCTGCATCAGTTTCTTCTAAAGTTGGTGGTAAAGTTTCAGCAGTTGGTGAAATTTCAGCAAGAGTTGGTAGAGTTTCAGCAGCTATTGGAGATGAATTCTCTGCACTTTCAGGCATTTAAGCCACTTCTTCGACTTCACTGTCAAATACGATTGGAGTAGACTGCTGTATACTCCAGTCCCAAGGGTTTTCTTATAAAAAATAACATCTGTACTGATTACAATCTTCTTCGTTTGTGGATTAAGAAATTTATATGCCTTTGATGCTTCACTAACACCGAGAACGATACACTTTTTGCTTTTGTCATCAAGTTTCTTCCTCTTCTCGTCTGAAACATGTGCATAGGCAATGCAACCAAAAATTCGTAAGTGATTGACAATTGATTTTCTTCTACTCCAAGCCTCTTCTGGAGTCATGTTTTGAACAGTAAATGTTGGACTTCTATTCAATACATGAGTGCTCCAGTTAATCGCTTCTGGCCAGAAAGCCTTTTTCATTCTTCCTTTTGCTAGCAAACTCCACACTATATTGAGAATGGTCCTATTCTTTGCCTCTCATACACTGTTTTGTTGTGGTGTATAAGCAGTGGTGAGCTCTCTACGAATTCCATTAGATTCACAAAAATCTTCAAAGACTTTTGAGCAGTACTCGCCACCACGATCAATTCGAAGAGTCTTTAATTCTTTATGGCTTTTCCAGTATAATTTTCTACATGAGCCTTGAAGCTTTTAAATACTCCAAAAGCTTCTGACTTTTCTGGCAAAAAGTACACCAAAGGTTTTCGAGAGTAATAATCTATAAAGGTAATTAAATACCTTTTACCTCCATTAGAAATTGGTTTAATTGGGCCACATATATCAGAATGCACCATCTCCAAACAATCCTTCGCCCACCACGACTTCCCTTTTGGAAACTGAGAACGATGTTGTTTGACAACAACACATTCTTCACAAACTCGGGAAGGGATGAGAATTTTAGGAAGGCCTATCACCATATTTTTCTCTTGGAGAGTTTTTAATCCACCAAAACCCAAGTTACCATAAAATGCCACAACCATGAAGAATCTTTTACTTTTGTTTTTAAACATGATTGAATACTCTCAATATTCATGGGAAATAACCTTTTTGAATTCATTTTCACAATGGCAATAGCTCCTCTATTAGGACTATAAATCTCACAAACACCTTTTCCAATGAGAATAAAATATCCTTTTTCTTGCAATTGTCCTACACTCAATAAGTTTCTTTTAAAGCAAGAATATATAGCACATTTGATATATTTCTTCAAAACCATTCTTCGCTTTAATTTTAATATCACATTTTCCCATTGCATCCACAATAGAGCAATCACGAAGACTAACTTTAGAACGAAAGCTTTCATTTAAATAAGAAAAACAAGACTTACTCCCACTCATGTGATTACTGCAACCTGTGTCCTGATACCAAACATCTTGTCCATGCACTTCTTGTGCTTGTATTGCCATCAACAAGGTCTCTGTTTCCTTGCTTTCAACAAAATTGGACTTCTTGTCCTTCTCATTAGGTAGCCTAGTGTAGCAATCAGATTGATATTGGCCAAATTTATGACATCGATAACATTTTACCTTTGATTTGTCAAATTTCTTTCCTCTGCCTTTGTCATAGTCATCATTGACCCTAAAATTTCTGCCTCCATCTCTATGTCCACGGTCTCCTCTCCCTCTCCCTCTTCCTCTACCTCTACATCTACCTCTACCTCTTTCTCTAGAATTGGAAAAAGTAAAAGTAGAAGATTTCAAGGCCCGCTCCTCAGAAGTTGAACTGCGATTCATCTTTTGTTCATGCACCAATAAGGAGCTTTACAATTCGTCAAGTGAAAACTCATCTATATCTTTTTGACTCCTCAATGGAACAAACAACATAATTGTACTTCGGCGTCAAAGAGCGCAATAGTTTTTCAACAATTTTGACATCACCATCTTCTCTCCATAGAACCACATTTTGTTGCTAATCTCTATTGTTCTAGCACAGTAACTAAAATAGAAAGCATGTCTATTGTCCTCGAAGTATGAGGACCCACCACTGAAGCTACTGAATATAAGCTGAGAGTCGAACTAAGCGTGATCTGGATGTTGAGTGTCTGAACCTCATGATGTAACGCAAAGTATGTGTCAGTACTTGGAATGTACTGAGCATGCAAGATATAGATCTGCTAAGCTGAACAAAGTATATAAGCTGAACAATGCATAACTGAGCAATAATATAATCTAAACAAGGATATAAATATGTACTGAAGTATAACTGAAAGATAAACTGAATGCAATGACCAAGTACAAATCATGAAGATAACATGTTGAACTGTATACTGAAGTAATTGCTAAAAACCTGGTCAATGAGCTAAGAGTTTGACTGTGGGAGCTACTACTAACTGACATAAACCACATGAGCTAAACGTGGAGTCCGATGTATACGCTCCATCGAGAGGACCCAATATACCTTGTCAGGGGTATAAAGACATGATTGTGGCGTGATCACTATGTTAGAGTAAAGTTTTAATGATAAACAACTTATTTCCTTGCAGAGCAAACGTATCATCAAAAAGGAAAAGAATCAATCATGGATCTCCATAAATCAAGTGAAGATTACCAATCAAGGATTTTGATTGATAAACAATCAGTCAAGGATCCATGTAGAGATCCTCAGAATACACAGATCACGAAAGGCACTAATCAAGGAAGGTGAATATCTCGACAGCTAGCAATGAAGAATACAATGGCTATATTCCAACCAACAATCAAGGAAAGCTGAAGATGCCAAGTCTACAATTAATCAAGGAAGCTGAATATTCAAAGATAAACTGAAGAACACAACGACTATAATCTACAGTTAATCAAGGAAGCTACAATGGCTATAATCAATAAGGCAATCAAGGAAGCTGAACAAGAATCAAGACTGGAAATCAGTGTTGAGCTTTATTCTTGGAAAATTAGGATCACTTGCCTTCTTTTCCAAGGATCAAATCTCTTGGGTTGCTATCTCTTCACAGAAAAGATTCGAGACTTCAAATACTATAAATAAAGGCTCAATTGACAGAAGGAAGTGTACAACAAGTCTGAATCATCTCACATTCCCTTCTCTACTTTTATCAAGCATTGTATTACCTAGTTCTACTATGTAAACAAAAAAGAGAGGAGAGATAAATATTATTGGTAAGGCTTTGTATCAAAACAAAAGGAGAGTGAAACAAACACTGAGTGTAAACTGTTTACACTCATCCCTGTAATCACAACAAAAGTTCAACAGCTTGAAGAGAACACCCTTGCAACCCAAGGGGACTGGACGTAAGATCCACATTAGATCCCAACCAGTATAAAAACGTCTTGTGTCAAGTTTACTTTTTAGTTTTTTGATTAACTCGCTATCAGTAGTCAACTAAGCATCACCTTAAGTCAACAACTCTTAAGGAAAAATCGTAAAACAACAATTCACCTCCCTCTTGCACTTTCACACTAAAAATGATGCCCAACATAAGGGACTTATAAACCTACGTGGGCACGTAGTTCTAGGACTTTGAGGGTATGTTGAACCCTAGTCCAACTCGGTGCTAAGTCTACTCCCAACTGAATATTCATGAAGCTAAAATACACTAAATACTGAATACCTCAAACTGATATGCTAACTGAGAATACAACATTTATATACTGAGAATATAACATTCGATATCTGAAGCATGAATTCCTGTCTAGTTAGCCTAACAAGTAAAATTCATGAATTAGGATAAATTTACACAAGCTAGGGTTCTGAGTTCTATGCAAGAAATTATACTAAATTATCAAGAAACAAGTTTATTTAGATCAAAGGAACCGTAATCACAATAAATCTTGAAAATCTAAAAACCCTAGGTATGAACAATTTATGAGAATCTGAAGAACTAACTGAATTCTAGGGACCTAATGGGTTAAAGGAACTCACTACTGATATCTCACATACCTGGTGACAAAATCTACAGAGAAATCCTTTGGATTTTAGGGCTGAACTTTAAAGAACACTATTGCTTGTTCTTGAAAGAAACTGACGCCTCTTTCTCTTCTTTTCTTTCTAACTTGGATGATTTTTGGAGAATGAGGGTTCTGGGTATGTCTGACTAGATTATTAGGCTTAGACTGAGTAAAACGACGTAGTTTATGCATCAAACGATGTAGTTTAAGTGCCCCAACGCATAAGGAAAGGACAAAAACGACCGTGACTTAAAGCTGACGAAGTGCCACTCACAAGGGGATTGATGGGCCGTCGTTTGAACCACTACCCGTTAACTGGGTCGTGGTTCGTGGCCTGCCCGACAAGGCTTCACTAAAATGAGCATAACTTTTTACTCCGATCTTGAATTTAGCAAACTCGGTGGCGTTGAAAAGAGGATTCAATTATCTTTAATTTGATAGGTCATGGGTCACCTAATTCATTTTGTGCTAAAAGATATAACAGTTTGAAGTTGACCCAAAAGCCATTTTTCTCTACATACCTACTGACCCTCACCTACGGCAAGACCTGTGGTCTGTAGGTCCAACCACAGACCGTACTGGTCAGCCGTGGGTGGGATAAGAGACCTCTAAGTCTGGAACCCAACGACGGGACCCCACCTATGGTCTGTGGTCTAACACACGGTCCATCGGTGGTTTCCGTTGGTTCTGACACCAGATCCTGGAAAGTTATATTTTTTTCCATCTTCTCGAATCCGAGGTGTTACACATACAATCATACGTATTGGATCCCTTCACCTTTTAAAGTACGCACACGATAAAAATAACCTACAATTAAGGTCGCTTGTAATATCTTAGAACTCTTACCCAATATCTTTTCTCTTACCATATATTTTTGGAATTTCTTAATTTTTAAAATTAACTTTCTTTTACTATATATTTTAGGACTCCTTAACTATTAGTTCTCCTAATAAGTACTTGTTACTATATATTTTAGGACTACTTAATTATTAAATTTCTTAATATATCTTATTATTTATTTTCCACTTCTTCTACCATATATTTTAGGACACCATAATTTATTAATTATTAATTATCCTAAATTTTCTTACCATTTATTTTGGGACTCCTCAATTATTAATTTTCCCTTTTTACCATATATTTTCCTCTTCCTCTTACCATCATTTGAAATATATTGATGGAATTAGATTTTCTAACAAGTTGATATGATCCTCTACTAGAATTATGATTTGGTTGCTCAAAATTTTACATTTGTAACACCATACATTAATTAATTTTCCATATTTGAAGGAATTTGTATTTACACCATTGTCTATTTAATAGATTCATTCTCTTCATTCTTATCTCAGGTAAATTTCAAGAACATAAACATTAGTATATTGGGAAAATGGATGCTTTTGCAATGAAAAAATCATGTTCTTCTAAGGCTTCTAGCATATCGTCTGCCTCAGAAGAATCTCATGAAGTCATCACAAACACAAAGAAGATGAAAGAAAAATCTATGGAAGACACTCAATTGAAGACACATGAACAAATTAGGCATTCCTCAAAGACTAAGATTTTCTCTTGCAACTTCTGCAAGAAAGAATTTTCCACTAAGCAAGCCCTAGGGGGACACCAAAATGGTCACAAACAAGAGAGGGCATTGTCTAAAAGGCAAAAGAAACTTGTTGGTGTTGTTCAACCTTTTGAGCATCCCAATTATCATCCTTACTATAGCCCTTACTCAAAATTGAACTCACACATGTCATTTCACAGTTCTTTTACCAATCAATCACCATTTGGTGTTAATGGAGATTCTTATGTCATTCATAAGCCTACTTTTTATCAGACATGGTCATGTTTTTCCAGATACAATTATCGATTTAACCCAGTGAAGTGGCCATCAAGCTCATCATTTTTTAGTACAAAAAATCTCCTAGGAAATAACAACAGTGATATGATTGGAACTAGAGTTGATGCGTTGGAGAATTCCCTTAATTCTGAGAGCAAAAATAGTGTAGAAGGTTTAAATTTAAAGGATTCACAAGTCAATATTGATGGTAATCTTGGTGGAAATAGTTATATGCAGATGAAATTGGAAGATGGTGATGCAGAGAAGAATAATGAAGAAGAAGAGGAGCTTGATTTAGATCTAAAACTTTAATGTTAGTTTGTAGTTTGCTTTGAATTGTTTGTTATTTTGCAGAGGTTTAATTTATTTGTGCTTTGCTTTTATTAGAACCTATGGTACTATTTTAGAAATTTTAGTTAAATTTAAATCATTCTCTTCATCATTTGATTCTTTTGTATTCTTTTTGGGGATTTGAAGCTTCATGTTAGACCAAAGAGATGTGTCGACTTTATCTTTTTGTATCTTATTATAACTAGACTTTTATAAGCCTAAATTGTAATTTCCATTTGTTTTGAAAAAAAATGTTTATATTCGAATCCATGACATGCAAAAAAGGAAGCCAAGATTTCAAACGATTTAAGTGAGATATGACGATTCAAACTGAGATGTTATTATTATTGTTTTTGTATTGATCCATGACGTGTAAAACCTTATTCCAAAGTATAGCTTTAGTCCCCATTTGAATGTTCTTATAGTTGACATTTATTACCTTCAAGAGTATTGTGGCACTGAAGACTTTGACTATTACCTTCTTGGCCAAAGCTAGGGGACGTAAGAAGTTCATCCCAATCCCTTCCACTAGAAATTGCATTGTATACATAAAATCAAAATTAATTTTATATGTATATATATCCTATTAACTCTTCTATATGTTTGCCTTTTTATATTTTGAATTTATTAGTAAGAATTTTGGCTCCCTACTATTCTTTCCCTTAGAAATTCTTCACTAGTCATCTTTTTTAATATCTCCAATAATTGAACCTACTATAAATAGGTTATTACGTCTCCCTTAAAGATAGATTGTTTTGGGTTATGAGTTTATGTTACTATCTTTGAGAGTTCGGGATTTGTCGCATATCTACTCTTGGACCCCCTTGAATGACTATTACGTGTAGTAATGCATATATGAGTTCATTTCATATCTCTATATTTGCTTCTTTTTTTTTAAAAAAAAAAAAGGATTCTCCTCAGTAGGAGTTTTGGCTACCTACTAGTCTTCCGCTTAGAAATTCTTCACCAATCATACAATTGAAAATCTCCACAATTGAACCTAGTTTTACTAGGTTATTAACATAGATTGTTTTGAATTATGAGTTAAAGTTATTCTGTTTGAGAGTTGGGGATTTTTCCATATCTACTCTTGAACCTTCCTTGAACTAGTACTACTTGTAGTAATTCATGTATGGGTTCATATATCTTTTCCCTATGGATTATGTCTTTGAATAATAAATGTAGGACAGTATGTAAGATAAAAAAATTGTAATGTAGGACGTCAAGTAGGACGAATGTTAAAGTTTGTCAATTATATACAACTTTAAGGATGTGTTTGGTATGAAGGAAAATGTTCTCCATGGAAAATGTTTTCCTAGAAAATGTTTTCTTGGAAAACAAGTTGATTTTTGACTTATTTTCTCATGTTTGTTTGGTGAGTAGAAAATATTTTCCGAAAAAGATTTTTAGTGTTTGATTTATGAATGAAAAATATTTTTGAAAAATTTCTTTTATTTTTACTAGAGTAGAAAATAATTTTTGAAGTCGAAAATATTTTTTAAAAACAAACTTAAATTTTTTTTGGGGGGTGGGGGGGCTGGTAGGGCGTGGGTGGGAGGGTTAGGGTGAAAAAATGAAAGAATACATCAAACCAAACAATGTATAAGAAATAATGCAAACATAACTAATGCATGCATTACTAACACATCATATTCAGCATTATTCTTATACACTCTACCAAACGACCCCTAAGTGTTTATTTGTGCACATTAAAAGTTTGATGGCATAAATGCTAGTTAAAGCCAAGTTAAAGGGCATGTTTATGTATTATGCCTATAATATAATACAACTACTTGTAGTAAATTAACAATAGCAAAAAGGATTATGGAAAAGTAGAAGATGACAACCTGAAAGTTCGTAATAATAAAATCGAAAGTCATCTACCAAGAGGCTAATAGCACGATAGTTTTGCCACTAAATTGGTGTACCTAAAAGTACAATGTCTAATTTATATCATAATTAGAAATTAACAAACAAAAAATGAAATGGGAAAAAAATTATATACTACGCTTGAAATACTTGTTCTGAAAATGTCTATTAACTGATGCTGAATAACCAGCATAATATGCGATTATATAATTTTAGCTATCCATACGATCATACGTATTGGATCCCTTCACCTTTTAAAGTACGCACGCGATAAAAGTGCAAAGAACCTACAATTGAGGTCGGTTGCAATATCTTCGAACTCTTACCTAATATCTTTTCTCTTACCATATATTTTTGGAATTTCTTAATTTTTAAAATAGATTTTCTTTTACCATATATTTTAGGACTCATTAATTATTAGTTCTCCTAATTAGTACTTGTTACTCTATAATTTAGGACTACTTAATTATTAAATTTCTTAATACATCTTATCATTTGTTTTCCACTTTTTCTTACCATATATTTTAGGACACCATAATTTATTAATTATTAATTATCCTAAATTTTCTTACCATTTATTTTGGGACTCCTCAATTACTATTTTTCCTACTTTTTACCATATATTTTTCTCTTCCTCTTACCATCATTTGAAATATATTGATGGAATTAGATTTTCTAACAAGTTGATATGATCCTCTACTAAAACTATGATTTGGTTGCTCAAAATTTTACATTTGTAACACCATACATTAATGAATTTTCCATATTTGAAGGACTTTGTATTTACACCATTGTCTATTTAATAGATTCATTCTCTTCATTCTTATCTCAAGTAAATTTCAAGAACATAAACATTAGTATAGTGGGAAAATGGATGCTTTTGCAATGAAAAAAATCATGTTCTTCTAAGGCTTGTAGCATATTGTCATCCTCAGAAGAATCTCATGAAGTCATCACAAACACAAAGAAGATGAAAGAAAAATCTATGGAAGACTCTCAATTGAAGACACATGAACTATCATCTAGTAGAGCACTTCTTGATCTCAAAGTCCATAATGATTACAATAGCGAGAAGAATATAAATTGTTCAAATCCTGAACTCATGAAAGAAAAAATTGTGGAAGGCTATCAATGGAAGACACATGAGAACATCTTAGTCTCAAAGTCAATAATTGTTGCAACAACAACAAGAATATTAATTGTTCAAATCTTGGACTAAATCTTTTTAATTCAACTCCAGCTCATGCTAGTGAGTCTTCCAATGAGGCAACGCCCACACAGAGGCATTCATTCCTCAAAGACTAAGCAAGGCCTAGGGGGACACCAAAAGGGTCACAAACAAGAGAGGGCATTGTCTAAAAGTAATCCCAATTATCATCCTTACTATAACCCTTACTCAAAATTAACCTCACACATGCCATTTTACACTTCTTTTACCAATCAATCATCCTATGTCTCCACCATGTCATCCCATAGATTCTCGTTTTGCCACACCTTTTAGTCCGCTAGGAGTTATATTAGTTTTCATTAAGTCAGAACAATGACTAAGTTAATCGTCTCTTTGTTCCCATCCACAAAAGAATCTTTAATTTCACTTCCACCCATATCATGCACGTTATCCATTTAACATTTTTTTTCGACCACTCTGCTTGTTTCTTTATCCAAAAAATAAAACCATCTAAATACTATAAGATACATCAATGTAATAGAAAATTCATGGTTTCTAAAATAAAAATAATTGGCTTCTATAAGTTGTCAAACAGATTGCAAAAAGGCCACAACGCCACAAATTTCTGTAATTGATCTTGTTGCTTTTGTGAAATTTATCCTCAATTGTAAAATATTTTATGATCTTCAATTATGTACTAATCATCGATCAAGGAAAATAAGGACTTTAGAGTTAGAAACAAACCTCTATAAACCAAGTTCCTATTGTTAGCCCAGTTGCACAACTCAACTTTTGTAGATAATCTTGGACTAGGGTCCCAAAAACTTGACATCCAATGTAGAACGTAAGCTTTGCATTTGCTAAAGAGGACACGTCTACAGGCCTATATTTGTCACGACGCAAAACCAAGCCATGATGGCGCCTACCACAACCCCCGAGTAGGCAAGTCAAAATCCAAAGTAAATTGCGGAAAATAACAGTTCAATATAATCTATCTATCTATCTATATCTATACTACCTTAAAAGCATGAACTCTCAAACATAAATGTTGAATTACTATAATATCCCTAATTAAAAATACTCAATTTATTTTATTTATTAATTTAATTAATTTAATTATATTGAAAGTAGATACCTTTTCAAATTAAAGGATTTTGACTTTTCCAATGAGTTGTGACTTTTCCAAAGGGTTGTGACTTTTTTGACGGGTTGTGACTTTTTCAATGAGTTGTGACTTTTCCGAAGGATTGTGATTTTATCAAAGGGTTGTGACTTTTCTAAGGGGTGTGCCTTTTCTGATGAGTTGTGCCTTTTTTAAAGAGTTGTGACTTTTTCGATAAGCAATGACTTTTTCGAAAGGTTGTGACTTTTCGGATAAGGCACAATTAACACCTATTCATACTACTATTTGGTAGCTATAAATAGAGGAGTTTCCTCACACTTTTAAACTACAATTTTATTAAGTTCTCTACTCTTCTTCTTCTTAAAAAATCTCAAGTATTATTTGCAAAAATTGATCAAGTTCGAAATTCAACGAAATTCCAGGTACCTTATAAGAAAGAGTTGGTGAAACAATTGTAGCAAATCATTCATCAATTCACACTCATATTTTTTCTTACCATTTTCATGAGTTAACAGTGATGAAATGTTGTGGGAGAGACAATAATATTAAACAGATATGAAAAAAGGCATATGATTAATTGGGTAAGATATTTCTTCTTTATTTTTTTATTTTTTATTCTTTTTCCTCAAACGGAGGAGTTTCTTACTAATTTTGCTAAAACAGTGGATATCAACGTAGTCCATTGAATTACTAGTTTTGATGTTAAATTCACTATTTCAAAAATAGATTTTCACTTTTACTTATAATATGTTAACATAGTCATGATAATACTTATTTTTAAATAGATATGTATGTAAAAATGAACGGAGAAAGTAAAGTGTT